CAGAACTTCTCTATCCACAGATTATTATGTGGGGATTTATTTTATTATTACTATTTTTAATAGCATTGGCTAAGTTTCTGCTCCAGACAGGTAGAAGAATCTACCAGTCAGGAGCCTAAAAGTACTCACATTCCTTGTGATACAACTAGAGTGCTTTAGGAATCCCTTCATTTCCAGAGTCGGGGATGGAAGAGCTCAAAGAGTATGAGGAGTCTTCAAAAAGTTCATGAAAATGTATATTAAGAAAAAACTATGCAATGGATTTCAACTTTTTTGTATCAAAATAAACTTTTTTTTTTTTTTAGGTTTTTGCCATAGAGCACATGGCTCGCTGGAGAGAGACAGAGGCAGGAAAAGTGAGAAATCACCCTCCAGAGGGTATGACCACACTGCAATTCTTTCTCCTCCAGTCTCCTTGCAGGATTTTGGTCATGCACACTACTTGTGCCTAACATGATTTTCAAACCGCCAGGTCTGGGACTCAAACCGTGGTCGGCCATATGGGAATCCTGTGTCTTAAATACCATGCCACCTGCTGGCCTCAATAAACACATATTTTAATTCCATCTTTTCATGAATTTTTGGAAGTCCCTTTGTATGATGAAGATATAGGTGATAATATGCTCTGGACCTTGAGATTGTAAAATCAGTGGTCTTGGGAAAGCACAGAAAACACTTGTCTTTAAAGAGATGCATGCTCTATGTCCTTGGTTTTCACCTGAGCTGTCAGGCAATGGCAGCCTTCCATACAGACATGGCCCTGGACCCCACAGGCAGATGGATTGGGGAAGTGATCAGCTTCCAAATGATCAACCAGGCAATAGCTTGCTTTGTATTGTTTTAGTGGTTAACATCTTTCTGAAAGGTGTTGGGTGGATTGAGCCTTGGGGATTTGTTTGGTGGTGCTCCGAAAATTTCTTGTCTCTGTTCCTAATTTTAAAGCCAGCAGCTGTCACTGCTTTGTTCTAAGTCGGTAATTTTCCATTCCCCTCGCATATTTGTATTTCCTTCATATATTTAATTATTCTCTTTGCAAACACTTTCAAATTGATCTTATTTTTTTAACCCCAAAGAAGGGTGTGAATATTATATATTCTGTCATTTAGCATTTTGTCATTTCTGTAACATGGCAATCATTTTTTAAAAAGAATTATTTAATTTATTATTTTTAATTCTGCTATAGGGCACATGCACTTACCAGAGCGAGACAGAGAGAGAGAGAGAAAGTGAAAAAGCAAGCTGCCAGGTCCGGGACTTGAGCCATGAAGGAGTCCAGTGCCTTAACCACCATGCCACCGGCTGGTTCCATGGTAATAATTTTTAAAAATTATTTATTTTATTTTATATTATTATTTTCTAATTTGCTATAGTCACCAGAAAGAGACAGAGAGAGAGGGAAAGTGATAAAGCAAGCCACCAGGTCTGGGACTCGAACTGTGGTCAGCCATGTGGGAGTGTACAGTGCCTTAACCACCATGCCACCTGCTGGTCCCCCTGGAAAAAAAAATCTTGTATTAAACAGATAATGGCCATAACAAAACAAGATTATTCTGAAGACTAGCTATTCTTTCTGGTTTTCTTTCTTCCTTTCTTTCTTCTTTTTTTTTTTTTTTTTTGAGAGGTTTTTGCTGTAGGGCACACACTTGCCAGAAAGACAGAAATGTTTGAATATTGTCCCATGGTGGGGATGGCCACGCCACAATCCCTTCTCCTCCAGTTTCCTCTTGGGATCTTGGGCACACATGCACACCTGCCTGGAGTGAGTTTAAGCCACCAGGTCCAGGACTCAAATCACAGTCGACTATGTGGAAGTCCAGCGACATAGCCATTATGCTAACTGCTGGTCCCAACCCTGCCATTCTTTTGGTTTTCAAATCATAGGAACAAGGTTCTGTCAGTGGCCAGAAAAGTTTCCCCAGGGACTTGGTCATAAGTTTGAAGGCGATTTCCCATGTGCATAGTCTCCTGAGCTGGGGTAGGAAAGATTCCTCATGGTCAGATCTGCTGCCTTGACCCCTTGCTGAGCCACCAAACATGACCTGGCACGTCACCAACGCCCTGCTTCTGTAAACCGAGGGAGGTGAACCGTGTGAGCTGTCCTTTCCAACTCTCAATTATCCGTGGTGGTTTGTTTCTGCTGCTGTCAGGGCTAGCACAGAGGAACAGGGATATGGTTTTCCTCAAGGAAATAAAATGAAGCTGAATGTGCTAGGAAGGCAAGGAGAAGAAAGGGGAGGAGCAGCCCCTGTGCAGGGGGAAGCTGCCCACCTGCCAGCCAGGTAAGGATAGAATTCTCTCACAGGAAGTCCTCGCTGTCCAGATGTTTCCTCCAGTCAACATGTGCCAGGTGTGCCCTGCAAACTCACCTGTGCTCTAAGTAGGGATGCATTATTGTCTCCCCCAAATTGGAGACTTTGCGATACTAATTTGTGGAAACCTGAAAGGCATGTGTGTTGGTCATCCTTCAAAAATAGTTGTGATTGCAGTTTTCCGCTCTCAGCTTGGATTTCTCAAACTGCCATTTAGGTGACGTGGAGGTTAAGGCAGCTGGGTCCCACATGACCAATTCTGTGGTTTGAGCCTTGGGCCTGGTAGCTTAAAAAATATACCAGGCACATGTGCCTGTGTGCCAAAATTCCCAAGGGGGGATGGAAAAGAAGGGATTGTGCCGTGGCCAGCCCTACCTACTCCCTACCTGCCACCAGGGGTAATTTCTCACTTTATCTCTCTCTCTCTCTCTGGTGAGCTCACACACCCTATAGCAAAACTAAATAATAAAATATTTTTTTAAAATTCAAACTTACAAATATTAACTTTGGAGAACATATTCTGTTGGCTGTAACAAGGTTTAAACACTATTTCTGTCAAGGGTTTTATCCTTGCCAACTGAATTAATTTCTCAAGTCTAGAAACTTAGAGTCCAATTCCTACCTGCCTCCCTGTGCAGCTGATACTCCTGGACTGCTGTCAAATAGTCATTTTGAGGGTTGGTTTGTTTTGACAGCAACAGAAAATTTCCATCAAGTGAAGTAATTAAAAAAAAAATTTTTTTTTTCAATAGGGCTTGTGTGTTCACCAGAGAGAGGCAGAGACAGTGAGAGGGAAAGTGAAGAATCACACCTTCCCACCTTGGGGGGTAGTGGTCACACCACAATTCACTCTCAATTATCCGTGGTGGTTTGTTTCTGCTGCTGTCAGGGCTAGCACAGAGGAACAGGGATATGGTTTTCCTCAAGGAAATAAAATGAAGCTGAATGTGCTAGGAAGGCAAGGAGAAGAAAGGGGAGGAGCAGCCCCTGTGCAGGGGGAAGCTGCCCACCTGCCAGCCAGGTAAGGATAGAATTCTCTCACAGGAAGTCCTCGCTGTCCAGATGTTTCCTCCAGTCAACATGTGCCAGGTGTGCCCTGCAAACTCACCTGTGCTCTAAGTAGGGATGCATTATTGTCTCCCCCAAATTGGAGACTTTGCGATACTAATTTGTGGAAACCTGAAAGGCATGTGTGTTGGTCATCCTTCAAAAATAGTTGTGATTGCAGTTTTCCGCTCTCAGCTTGGATTTCTCAAACTGCCATTTAGGTGACGTGGAGGTTAAGGCAGCTGGGTCCCACATGACCAATTCTGTGGTTTGAGCCTTGGGCCTGGTAGCTTAAAAAATATACCAGGCACATGTGCCTGTGTGCCAAAATTCCCAAGGGGGGATGGAAAAGAAGGGATTTGCCGTGGCCAGCCCTACCTACTCCCTACCTGCCACCAGGGGTAATTTCTCACTTTATCTCTCTCTCTCTCTCTGGTGAGCTCACACACCCTATAGCAAAACTAAATAATAAAATATTTTTTTAAAATTCAAACTTACAAATATTAACTTTGGAGAACATATTCTGTTGGCTGTAACAAGGTTTAAACACTATTTCTGTCAAGTGTTTTATCCTTGCCAACTGAATTAATTTCTCAAGTCTAGAAACTTAGAGTCCAATTCCTACCTGCCTCCCTGTGCAGCTGATACTCCTGGACTGCTGTCAAATAGTCATTTTGAGGGTTGGTTTGTTTTGACAGCAACAGAAAATTTCCATCAAGTGAAGTAATTAAAAAAAAAATTTTTTTTTTCAATAGGGCTTGTGTGTTCACCAGAGAGAGGCAGAGACAGTGAGAGGGAAAGTGAAGAATCACACCTTCCCACCTTGGGGGGTAGTGGTCACACCACAATTCCTTCTCCATTTTCCTCCTGGGATTCTGGACATATACGGGTGCCTGGTGTGGGTTTCAAGCCACCGCGTCTGGAACTCAGACTATGGTCAGCCACGTGGAAGTCCAGTGCAGTGACCACTATGCCACCTGCTGGTCCCATCATCAATTGAGATCTTGCTTTTGAGCTCCAGTAGAGAAACAGGTACGGCTGCTGAACGGTCTCTACTTGGTCTCCTGGGTTCGCTCAGGTCTAGAAAACAATACAAAGCAAGCCAAAGAGTAGAACCCTGAGAATTCAGTGATGCAGAAATAATATTCCAAACACTGCCATTCCGTGACAGACATTTCCTTGCAGGCTAATCTGCTTTGAGGGCTCACTTCACAGAAAGCAGGTGCTAAGCTGTGTTGAGCCTACCATTCTGCCTCATTGGCATGAAGGCTAACGAAAACCCAGCTGACGTCAATGAAAGAAGGAAAAATATATTCAAAATTTTAACGTTTGCAACAAAGTGACAAAGCAGTTTCCTTCCCCTTTCTTTCCTTTTAAGCATTTCTCCCTAACAACAATGTTCAGAAAACAGGGAAAGCACATTTGCTTTTGAGCACGTTCGTCCTGCTCTTTGCAAATAGCTTCTCCGCCAACGCCAAAGAATCATCCACGTGGAAACCTTTTTTCCATTAATTGTCTTAAGTGCCACGTCAGACTGCCTTTTGAGAAGCTAGAATGTGGAATGTTGCAGGCAAGATCGCCACCTATCGGCCGAAAGGATCATTGCACGAAAGCGTCAGTGTAGCTTCTGACCCCTGTTTCGGAGGATGGAAATATTTGTACTGGCTGGAATATTCTGGACAATGTATAAGTGATAATATTTATGTGGTCACCCAGGGAAATGAACAAAAGCTCAAAACGAATCCAGTTGATGAAGAAAATGTTCTCATTTCCTTTGCAACTCTCCTAGAATTCTTTGTGCCTCTCTGGTATGTGTTTTGTCTCACGTGAGTAGTATTTTACAAACTCATCTTCTCCTAAAATTGAAGCTCTAAAATAAGTCATTTTTATTGACTTATGAGTTATTAAATTTTACAAGGCAAGCCAACTCATAAGTTCTTGGACACATTGCCTTGGGGGCCACAGGAATAACCAGCTCCTCATTACGGGGCCTGAGTGCAATATTAGCTGTAGCCAGTAATACCCAGCCCCAGGTGAGGTGTTGTGAATGCAAGGATGTTATTTGGGGGTCCCTCGCTCAAAGGCTAGGGATTGGCTTGCAGCATGTTCTCCCCATTTTTTAAACAGGCCCATTGAATATCCCTTTTATTTATTTAATGAAAAAGACAGACCCCCCCCCCAGTAGGATCTTCACCTCATAATCTACCCCCTAGTATCAGCCATCATGGAGCACAGGAGCCCCCCAGTGTGTACAGAGACCCTAGGATCTGAACCCAGAATCTTTCCCAGGTGGGTCCAGTTCATTACCACCGCACCACCACCCAGTCCCTGAATTTTCCATCCATTTTAGATCCTTCTTACCACTGAGTGGGTGCATATCTATGCAGATCAGTAGGTCATTCCTTCACCAACACATTTTTTCAAGAAAATATTTTTAATTTAGAACATACACTTCAAAGTCAGACAGAATTGGGTTTGCATCCCAGCTCCCCGTCTTACCAGCTATGTGACCTTGGGCAAGTTGTTTAACCTCTCTGGGCCTCTGAACTTTAAGCAGTGAATGATAAATTGTACCCCAAATAGTAGCTGTGACGATTACATAGGACAATCAGTGTTAACCCATTGAGCCCAGTTTGGGCTCATAGGAGAAAGAAATAGTTGTATTTCAGAGTGTAAATTAAGTGTATTGAACTGGTTTTGTTCTCTGACTTTTGTCCCACAGAAGCCTGGCTGGGAAACTTAATCTAAGGTTAGTGGCTACAGATATGTGTTGAAACTTCACCATGACATGGTGTATCTTCCCTCTCCTTTAACTTAAGACTTTGACCATTTTTTCAAGGTTTCTATAGGGTATGCACTTGCTGGAAAGAGACAGAAAGAGGAAAAGTGAGAAATCACCCCCATCACCTCTCAGAGGGGATGATTATGCCACGATCCTTTCTCTTCCACTCTCCTCTCGGGATTTTGGTCATGCATGCACACATGCCTGGCATGACTTTCAAGCTATCTGGCCCGAGACTCAAACCATGCAGCTGGCCATGTAAAATCCAGCTGCTTAATCTCTGTGCCACCTGCTGACCCAGTTTTGGCCTTTTAACTGCAATCCGTTCCTATTTCTGCAGCCAGGTTGTCTTCTGTGAGGTGGAATCCATCTTCCTGGGACCTAAAATCTCTGGGGGAAAAGTCAGAGAAACAAAATAGGTCATTCTTCCTCTCCACTCCTGTATGTAGCTCTTTAACCGTTACTTCCTTTTTCTTTTCTTTTTTTTTTTCCCTGTAGGGCACATGGGCTCACTGGACAGAGGCAGAGAGAGAGAGAGAGAGAGAAAGTGAAAAATTACCTCCTGGGGGGATGGCTGTGTTGCAATCTCTTCTCCGTTCTCCTCTTGGGATTTTGGGCTTACATGCATGTGCTGAGCATTTTTTTTCAGGCTGCTGGGTCTTGGACTCGAACTGAGCAGTTGACTATGTGGGGATGATCCAGCACCTTAACCACCACATCACCTGGTGGCTGACTGATACATCCTTAAAATCATGTCCTGCTTTAAGGCTGGGTGGTGGTGGGACAGAAGGAACAAGACTTGGTGAGGCCCTGTGGAAAATAATTCTACAAATGACCCTCTCATTTAAACTAAGAAAATAAAAAGGAAATTGTATTTTATTTTGTTTTTACTACTACGAATGAATTTTTCAGACTATAGGAAATTTACATATGAAATGTTTGAATATTGTCCCAGAAAATCTAAAAACATTACTTTCCTAAAAATTCATGCCAATAAATAGTAAATACAAAATGAAAAAGTGCCTACTGATTCAAGTAGCAATTTCTTGTGCTACTTAAATCATAAATATACATTTTTAATTTTTTTCAAATATTTAAAATGTTTGATTTTAGAAATAATCGGCTTAGTAGAACTGGCTATTAGCATGAGGTAACCTTGTTTTAAAGAGTGGGGGTTGCTGGATAAATATGTCTTTTCCCTGGAGGGGAAAATAAATAAATCTATTGATTTTATTCCTGTGACCCAGAGATGACAAATAGGGCCTTTCCTGTGAGAAATCTCTGATTGAGCGGTATCAACTACTTGTTCTGGGAAGCATGCTAAGGAGGAAGTGTAAGCTCAGGGGAAAGTGTGCAGTGTTAGATTAAGGATGTCTGCCGTGAGCATGGCATCAGAGGGTTGCAGTGTGGACATCAATTATCGCAGTCTTGTCAAATCACTTTATTTCCTTTTATCAAATACCATGGAGTGTTAAGACAGACAGGTGGTCATTTGTTATTTTCTAAAGGCCTAGCAACTGTAAATAGACCTCTGTGTTTCAGATATATGATCAGAAAGGACAGAATGAACAGAGTTTCAGATTTGTTCCTGACTTTTTGAAGAACTCTGCTTTTTATTCAAGTTTATGTTTTTCCAAGTAAAACCCAAAGTGTCAGGCATAGTTTTGGTAGAAATTGCTCTCAACATTCTAGGTATAGTCATGAGCCCTGTAGCAATGTTTGAGTCAACAAAGGACCACTTAAGTGACAATGGTCCCATAAGATTATAATGGAGCTGGAAAATTCCTATTGCCTAGTGATGTCATAGCCACTGGACCATGGACGCACCATGGTTTGCATTACTCATGCGTTTGTGGTGATGCTGTTGGAAACAAACTTAAACCTAGTACACTGCCATCGGCATGAAAGTATAGCATATATAATGATGCACAGCACATAATACTTGATCGTGATGATAATAAACCATGTGACTGGTTAATGTATTTGCCACACTCTACTTTTTAAGTAATTTTTTTTTTTTTTGGCTGTAGGACACGTGCGCTTGCCAGAAAAAGAGAGAAAGCAAGAAATCACCCCCCAGGGGGGGATGGCCACGCTGCCATGCCACAATCCCTTCTCCTCCATTCTCCTCTCAGGATCTTGGGCATACATACACACTTGCCCAATATGAGTTTAAGCCACCGGGTCCAGGACTCGAACCGTGGTTGACTATGTGGGAGTCCAGCGACATAGCCATTACCTCAACTGCTGGTCCCCACACTCTACTTTTTATCATTATTTTAGAATGTCACCCTTTTACTTGTGTAAGAAAAAGTTTACTGTAACGGACAAGAAGCATCTAGGCCTCCAGTGTGATTCCTTGTACCGGACTAAACGAATGTGGGAGAATGATGAATTCAAGTAAGCAGCCAAATACCTGCATGAATAAGACCGAAAAATAGCAACCGAAAAAAATCTGAAGTGCAAATAGGAAGCACAACGACTACCTGAAGATTACGTCTTATTCTGGTGGGAATCTGTTAGTCTAGTTTCTTCTGTCTGGTCTGTTGTCAAGCTCAGTCTCTTTTAGGCTTTGGGCATCACTGCAAATGAAGTAGTCTAAGAACCCTTTCATTTCAAAACTATGCAGAGGGGGACCAGCAGATGGCATAACGATTATGTCGCTGGAGTCCCACATGACTGCCTGTGATGGGCGTCCTGGACCGGGAGGCTTGTAACTCACCCAGGCACATGAACATGCATGCCCAAAATCCCAAGAGGAGAATAGATTGCAATGTGGCCATCCCCCTGGGGGGAGTGATTTCTTGCTTTCTATTTCTCTGTTTCCGGAAAGATCCAGTCCCCGGTAGCAAAAAAAAAAAAAAAAAAAAAAAACTCTCAAAAACAACAACCACAACAAAACAGTACAGAGGACGTGCTCTTGGAGTTATCTTCCTCTCTGAAGCTTTATGAAAGATTCCAAGAAAACTGAGCTGAGGTCAGAGCTTCTAACAGCTTAAAATACTGTAGTGCTAAACCAGTGGCAAGGGTGGGAAGCCTAGCCACGGTTTTTAGTAGTGCCCTCTGGTGACCAGCAGGAGAAGAAGTAAATTCTCTGGAATAAAACCACATCCAGTGCAGACTCCTAGGATACCCACAGAGTAAGAATAAAGAAACTGAGGCTAGCAGATGGTGTAGTGGTTAAAGCACTGGACTCCCACATGGGTGATTATGGTGGCTTGAAACTCACACTGGGTGCATGTACGTGCATGTGTGTGCCCAAAGTCCCAAGAGGAGAATGGAGGAGGAGGCATTGCAGTGTGGCCATTCCCTCACTTTCCATTTTTCATTTCTCTCTAGTGTACCCCATAGCAAAACCAAAATTAAAAGTGGGGAGACAGAAAAGACAGATCATTTACTGTTTCAAGGAACAAAGGATAGGGACCAGCAGTTAGCGTAATGGCTATGTCGCTGGACTCCCACGTAGTCGACCACGGTTCGCGTCTGGACCCGGTGGCTTAAAACTCACGCCGGGCACGTGTGTGTGCGTGCCCAAGATCCTGAGAGGAGAATGGAGGAGAAGGGATTGTGGTGTGGCCATCCCCCCTGGGGGGTGATTTCTCGCTTTCTGTCTCTCTGTCTCTCTGTCTCTGTCTGTCTGGCGAGCGCACACGCCCTATAGCACAAACCTCTCAAAAAAAAAAAAAAGGAACAATAATTAGAATGAGAGAAGACTTCTCAAGGAAGTCTAGAAAAGAATATCTTCAAAAATTGAGAGAAAATAGAGGTCAGCAGGTAGCATGGTGGTTGATTGAGTTGCTGGACTCCCACATGGCAAACTGGTTTGAGTCCTCTATCTGGCAGCTTGCTTTCTTACTTTCTGTCTCTCATGAGTGCACGTGCCCCATAGCAAGTTTAAAAATAGTAATAATAATAAATAAAATTAATATTTTTAATTGAGTGAAAATAACTATTAACCTAGAATTGTATCCCACCAAAACTTGTTTTTAAAAAAAGATACAAAAAAGACATTTACAGATCAGTAAAACTTTTGAGAGGCTTTATAGTATTTAGTATTACTTAATTCGTGTTAACCATCAAGAAACTGAGACAAAAAAAATTTCCAGGGCCAGTTGGTGGCAGTGGTTAAGGTGCTAGACTCCCACATGGCTGACCATAGTTCAAGTCCTGGACCTGGTGGCTTGTTTTCTCACTTTCCCTCTCTCTCTCTCTCTCTGTTTCTCTCCGGTGAGCACATGTGCCCTATAGCAAAACTTAAAAATAACAATAAATAAATAATTAAAAAGAAATGTCTTCCCTGTTTTTCAGGGAAGAGATATAAGGTCTAGGATATAAGAAGGAACAGTGAGCAAATACCAGAACTATCTGACAGAACTTGCTGCAATTTCAGATGTCCTTTAATTAGGAACTGGGACTTTCTAACTTAATGAAAGTGAAGAGTAAGCATTGAAAGCGGTGGTTAACCACTGACATTTCACACTGCCACTATCCTAGCTACAGAACCTTTGCTGTCAGACCGCAATTTTCTTCTCAAAGACATACAACTACTATTACTGCTCCTATTATTTTTTTAGATTTATTTATTTATTTAATTTCATTTGTTATTATTTTTCAATTTGACCAGAGTGAGACAGAGAGAGAGAGAGAGAAAGGGAAAGTGAGAAAGCAAGCTGCCAGGTCCTGGACTTGAACTGTCAATTAGCCATGTGAGAATCCAGCGCCCTTAACCACTACACCACCTGCCGGCTCATGGCTATTATTATTAACCTTAAATAATTAATTATTTTAAAATGATGATGAATATTTCAAAAATTTACATGAAGTGGATGGTTTGCCTTACGTGGTCCAGCAAGGGTGAGAATTTGAGGCCTGCTGTTCGTAAGGCCTGCTGGGTCCCTGCAGGATTCAGAGTCTTCCCTGTGGTCAGCCATGCCGGATCATCCCTGGGAGGGGTCATGATGCTCTCCATGGTCTGCAGGTGGCTTCCTTTCATGGGGAGTTGAAGGGAGTTGGAATTCATGGAGGAATATGGAGGGAGTTGGGATCTTGAGTGCTCACCGAGCATCCACGCTTTGTGAGAGCTGCCCCAGCTTTGGAAGGCACTTTGTCTGCTCTATCCCCTACCAGGCAGCCCACAGCCCAGATTCAGAAGCTCAGACTTGGAGATGCCTTTCCACCTGTGACTGGAGAGCTCTGAGTTTGAGGCCTGCCCCGACATTTCCTAGGTCTTTGACTCTTAGGAAATGAATTTCCCTGCTCTGAGCCTCCATATCCTCATTTGAAAAGTTCACGTAGTTCCTTCATCTTACCAGGGTGATTGTGGATCACCAGTGAGAAAATGGATATGAAAGCTGAGATCCACAATGTGGAACACGTGGCAGGATCGACTCCCACTTCCTCCTCAGCCAGAAAACTGTTTCTGTTCTATCCTTCCAGCAGAGGGGAAACCCTGCATGAGGTCAGAGGCAATGGGAAAGGTTGAGGCACACAGCACATCTGGGGCCCACGAGTGAAGGAGATAGTGGCTTTCTGACTCAGGTTTCCCTTTCTAGCCAGCCATCCCACCTCCCATTAGCCATTCATCCCTCTGCCCAATAAACAGCCCCTGAGTGCCTGTGCCGGTGGTCTGGGAGCTCTGGGCTTCTGTGAATTATCTCTCTCCAACATGTTGTCAACACGTTCTCTGAGTCTTGGCATTTGTGCTAAAACCAAAGCGGCTCGCAGCAGCTGGAGTGCTGATCCCATCTGGCCTTCTGGTTTGTCAGAGGCAATCTGATTGTTTAGCTTGGACCTGCAAGCCAAGAGACTAAAGAAAACTGTGCTGAGCCTCAAAGAAACCACACTGGGAGTGTAAGAAGCTGACGAGGACTGGAAACCCCAAATCCACCCTTGCTGTGGGCTTCCTCAGTCCTGTGTGACAAACTTGTGTGGACATAGGGTGGGTGCCGTGGGAGGTGACAGACTGTGGCCATGACCAGAGAGGACTTTGTGATCTAGCAAAGTGGTGAGACACTTGTTTCCAGCATAGCCCTGCCAAGCTCGGGTAACAAGCAGACTTTTCATCCTAGCTCCTTCTAAGTCCCTGCATCCAGGCGTTTGCTTGGTGCTGCCATGGTAACCATGATGCCACAATGGAACATTATTCCCGAGGTAGTAGAAGAAGTCCCTCTGTTGAGCTCTGTAAGGCCCAAGAGAGTTCATTTCTCCTTTAGAAAGAGCACTTCACGAAAGAACCCTGAGGACCATCCCGAGGACAAGAAGCATCCGGCGTCATGAGTAGAACATGGTGACCAGGAACTGTGCCCATGGGTTCCTGAGGCTACTGGGCATTGTTTGGGGCAAGGGTGTAGGCTTGGTGTTATGGCATGTGGGAGCTCTGTAAGGCCCGAGAGAGTTCATTTCTCCTTTAGAAAGAGCACTTCACGAAAGAACCCTGAGGACCATCCCGAGGACAAGAAGCATCTGGCGTCATGAGTAGAACATGGTGACCAGGAACTGTGCCCATGGGTTCCTGAGGCTACTGGGCATTGTTTGGGGGCAAGGGTGTAGGCTTAGTGATACGGCATGTGGTGGAGCACCTGTGGGCTTTGGATTCAGGCAGACAACTCAAATCCCAACTTCAGAACTTGGGAGCCGTGTGACTTTAACCTACTCAGTGTGTCTGAATCTCTGTTTCTAAGTCTGTAAAGTGGGGATATGAGACGGTCTACCTGTAGGATGACTGTTGGAATGAATTAAGCTAAATGCTGGGGCTGGTACCGTGTGTAAGTCCAGGCTGTTACTAGTTCAAAGAAATCCCAGCATTATGAAAGCCAGCAGGACTTAAGAGAGCTGAACTCACAGCATAGACATTAAGCCATAGGAGAGGGGGACTCTCATTAAAGCACAGTCTTTTCTTTTAAAAAAATTCTTTTAAAAATATTTATTTATTTACTTTAATTTGAACAAAGAGGGACAGAGCAAGAGAGAGAGATAGGGGCGGGGAGAGAGAGAAGTAAGAAAAAGCAAGCCACCAGGTCCAGGACTTGAACCATGGTCAGCCATGTGGGAGTCCAGCGCCCTTAACTGTCAAGCTGCCTGCCCCAGAACTCTGTCTTTTCTTTCAGCAGCATCTTACGGCTACAGAGTTAAGGCAAGGTTTGAATTCCACGAGTCAAAAATTTGGAGCCCCAATTTGCAGGGACACACAGGGGCCTGGGCTGGATTGAGAAGACACTGACTAGCTCAGGCCGTCTTCTCTCCTCCAGCCATCGTCCAAACGGCTGAGGACAGGCGCTGGGCAGCTGGCTCCTGCCTCTCTGCTGCAGGGAACCAGGTGCCAGGGATGTGACAGGTTGGTTTTTCCCACATCCTGAAACGGACTTTCTGTTTTCACAGCTGCTCATGGTGGCTGCTGCGGCTGCTCTCATTGGGGATGGCAGAGATGAGAGGGGTGCTCTTAGTACTGCTTTACGTCTCCCACACGTCTGCCAGTGAGTGTGCTGCCTCCACTCCAGGACTTGGGACCCACCGCGGGGAGGTCACCAGGGAGAATGAAACAGTGTTTCACATCCAGAGAGGGACGTGGGGAAGATGACTCTCAGCACGCTGTGCTGAGCAGCGGGTGTTGCTGGCAGGAACCAGGCAAAGCAGTGAACTGCGCAGAACGCATGGGGCAAATGATGCCTGGTGTCAAGGCTAATTATCAGGGCAAGAGCATGGTTAGGAAAATCAGGGTTAGGCTGCAGAAAGTCCCCGTGAACAGAGGGGTCAGCGCCAGGCCTCCTTCCCCATTCACAGCCCCTGCCCTGGCTGACATTTGGCATGGTCGGTCTTGGGCATACAGTCTGCCAAGCACTCTTCCATAACCTCACCTTGTATGATCTTCACGGCCACCCAAGAGGTATGCAGAGCCAGGATTATGACCCCAGGTTTCAAGGGAGGAAACCGAGCCCTAGAGAGGTGAAGTGGCTCACCCAAGGTCCCATAGCATACTAAGGGACCAACCAGACTTTGAACTCTGTATCCAGGCCCTTGCTGAGTACACGTTAGACCCTACCCCAGGGAGCTTGTAGACATGCAAGACCCAGGGATTCTGGTGGATGAATGATGCAGTCAGGAGAAAGAACCCTGCCCTCCACTTTGCTCTGGTGAGGGTGTGATGGGCATCCCTGGGTTCAACAAGGAGGGCCCGTGGGCAGTGGGGATTCATCTGAGCAGGCACACTGGCTGCTGAGGAGTGGCATGGGGCGGCGGAAGGGCTGGTCAGCCAGGGAGAGAAAAACAGCCCTTGTGGACGCCATCCTGTGACCACGCCCGGAAGTAGGAGGCTCAGCTCAGCCAGGCGGGCCTTGAAGAAGTCAGTTCCCCTTTCTGACTTAGATGAATTCCAGGGGTGCTTCCTGGTCTGACCTCCTAAGCCTCCTCATTAGCTCTATGAGTGTAGAACGTTTTCCCTTAGCTACAAGGTAAACCAGGGCTGGCATGAGAAGCGACATGCCATTTAAAACATTATTCAACCTTTAACTCTTACCGGGAATGAAGTCCAGGCCACTCAGGGAACTGTTCAGTTGGAGGGGAATGTCCACTGGAGGAAGGCAAAGGCTGAGCAGGCCCCGGGGGACCAGAGAAGGCCTCCACCTGCCGGGTCCTTTTAGCTCTTGATGACAAGAAGTCAGGGAGTGCCTAACTGGCAGAGCCTTTCTGTTCATGCACCAGATAATTTACTTAGCATGTACTATGTGCCAGGCACCATGCTAACACATAGGGAAATGCTGGCAAGACAGGCAGATACTGTTAGAAGAGCCACACATGCCAACAGCCTGGGGAGGAAGGCGGGCGAATTCGAGGACACAATGGGCATATGGCTGGAGCACAGCCTGTGGGGTTGGGAGGATGGAGTGTGGCTCCAGCTGGACTGACCGTATGTCCTACAAGCTGGGACAAGTGCTTCTCTGCTCTGAACTTCGATTCTCTCATCTGCAAACTAAGAATGACAGCCCAACCCTCAGGACTGTGGTGGGAATCATATGAAGTAGTGGATACCATTGGTTCTCAGGCTTTACGCGTAAAAACCGTTAAAGACCCCAAGAGAGTTTTTGCTTGTGAAGCGGTGTCTTTCCATATGTACCATATTAGTAATTAAAATTGGGAAAATTAGGGGCCAGCAGAGGACGGAATGGTTATGTCACTGGACTCCCACACAGCCAACTGCTGTTCAAGTCCCAGACCCAGTGGCTTAAAAATCAAAGCCAGGCATGTGTGTATGTGTGCCCAAGATCCCAGGAGGAGAATGGAGGAGAAGGGATTACAGTGTAACCATCTTCTCTGGGGGAGGTAATTTCTCACTTTCCCTCTCACCATCTCTGTCTCTCTTTCTCTGGAGAGCACATGTGCTATATGGCAAAAACCTATAAAAAAAATTTGAGAAAATGAAAAACACCTAGGAGAACATAAGATCACACATCCTCTTCGCCATCAGAGTGATGACATCATGTAGCCTCTGGAAAACGCCAGTGCATACCAGTGAGAGAATGAGGGTGAAAAAAACAAGTCACGTCTTAGTGCTCTTATGAAAATAGGTTTAACCTTGCAGACCCCTGGAAGGTCATGAGGACTCGCAGAAGCCCCAGACTACCCTTCGAGAATGGCTGATGTATACGAAAGGTTCTGGTTCTGTCTAGCGTGTCCTGCCGAGTGCTCCTTAGGTGACGGTATCAGTAGTCCAATTGGATTTTCAGGTTCAAAGATGTCACCACACATCTGTTATGGGGAAGAAGACCCACTAGGACAGGGAAAGGAACGGGGTGATGGAGTTAGCGATGAGCAAGATGGAGAGCCAACAGGAGAGGGGGTCTGCCTGAGGTCTGGGGGGAAGCCCAGAGGTGACCGTCTCCTGGCCTAGCATGAGGCCCCTGCACCCCTCTGTAGGTTGTGGCATCCAGAAAGTCTTCGATTTGGACAGTTCCGAGGACAACCCGGTCAGCAGCATGGAGTTCCCATGGGTGGTGTCGCTGCAGGATTCCCAGTACACCCACCTGGCTTTCGGCTGCATCCTCAGTGAGTTCTGGATCCTCAGCATCGCATCTGCCTTTCAGAACAGGCCAGTACCCCTGCCTCTGGGGCCCACACCGCCCCCTGGGGATGGGGTGGGGCAGCTCTGTTTCCTGCTCAGCCAGGGAGACCCTGCAAGGTGGATTTCAGGGTCTGGGGCTCTTTATCAACTGTTTTGAGGTCCTAAAATCACCAGTTGCCGAGGCTCCTCTGCTATAAGGACTGCGAGCCTCATAACTGAAAAGAGGATTATTCATTCCATACCGGGAAGCTATTCGTTCTGAGCTGATGGCAGTCACAGAGCCACTGACTTGAAATGCCAGTCCTTATTGTGTATCCCACTGAGCAAGTCCATAGGAAGCCTTACCTTAAAACAGTTACCTTGGCCTGGGACCAGCAAATAGCGTAATGGTTATGTCACTGGACTCCCACGTGGTCGACCACGGTTCAAGTCCTGGACCCAGCAGTTTAAAATTCATGCCGGGAGTGTGTGCATGTGTGCCCAAATATCTGAGAGGAGAAAGGAGGATAAGGGACTGTGGCATAGCCATCCGCCCTGGGGGTGATTTCTCTATTTCCTTCTCTCTGTCTCTCTGGCAAATGTACACATCCTATACCAAAAATCTTTCAAAAAATTAAAAATTAAAAAAATAAAAACAAAAAAAAATACACGTACCCTGGCCTTACAGGTGCTGCCACAATCACACATACAGAGAGAAAAGACTTACAGGAAATCCAGGAGCACTTTTTTTTTTAAAGAGGATTTTGCCATAGGACACTGTGCTGGCTGGAAAGAGGTTTTTGCCGTGGGGCACTGTGCTGACTTCTATGTAGCTACCACAGTTCAAGTCCCAGAAACTCATGCACACACATGCCCAGCATGTTTTTCTTCCTTTCTTTTTCTTTTCTTTTTTTTTTTTACAGGTTTTTGCCTTAGGGTACATGTGCTTGCCAGAGAGAGAGAGAGACAGAGAGACAGAAAGCGAGAAATCATCCCCCCGGGGGATGGCCATGCCACAATCCCTTCTCCTTCATTCTCCTCCTGGGATCTTAGGCATGCATGCACATGAATGTCCAAGATGTAATTTTCAAGTCATCAGGGTAAGGACTCGAACCACAGCTTGTCACGTGGGAGTCCAGCAAAGTAACCATTATGCCATCTGCTGCCCATCGCCAGCATGTTTTTCAAGTCGCTGGGTTTAGGACTTGAACTGCACAGTCTGCCATGTGGGATCCAGCCACCTTAAGTACCACACTACCTGGTTAGCCCATTACTGAATTTTTAACATACAATTTATAATTTTTAAATGAAGATCCATGTACATAGTATAATGTTCATGAGGAACCAAAGGGTGTGCAGTGAAAACAGCTTTTTCCCTCTCCTTTTCTTCAGTCAGTAATTTCCATCCCTTGAGCTATAGTCTGTCATCAGTTTCTTGAATATTCCTCCTTAAATACTCAATGCATTTATGGTTATCTATGTATTTATAGATCTAGCTATATTGATTTTTATACTTTTTTTAAGATATTTTTTGCTATAGGATTTATAGGGTTTTATAGATTTGTTGGTCGTGGTCACTCACCAGAGTGAGAGAGAGAGAGACAGAAAGTGAGAAATCACCCCCTGGGGAGATGGCCACAACGCAAACCCTTCTCCATTTTCCTTTCAGGGTTTTGGGCATGCAAGCATATGCGCCTGGTGTGAGTTTCAAGTGCCTGGGTCCAGGACTCAAGCTGCGGTTGGCCATGTGGGAGTCTAGTGCCTTCACCACCATGCCACCTGCTGGTCTCATGATTCTTGTACTATAAACAGAGAGAATTTTCTTCCTGCCTTGTATTAGTCAGCTTAGGTGGCCATAACAAAATATCATTGACTGGGAGACTTAAATAATAAAAATTTATTATTCACAATTTTGGAGGCTGTAAGTTTAAGATTAAGGTATTAGAATGGTTTCTCTTGAGGCCTCTCTCCCTGGCTTGCAGAGAGCTGCCTTCCGTCTATATTCTCTCATGGCTTTTTCTCTGTGTGTGTGTGCTCTCCTGGTGTCAAAGTCTTCCTCTTCTTAAAAGGACACCAGTTTTGGGGGCTGGCAGGTGATGTGGTGGATAAAGATGCTAAATTCCCACATGGTTGACCACGGTTTGAGTCTCAGACTTGGTGATGTGCTTTCTCGCTTTCCCCTTCTCTCTCTGTCTCTGTCTGGTCAAATCAAAACATAATAACACATGAAATTAAATAAATAAATCACTCTTAAGAGGAAAAAAAAAGGACGCGAGTTCTATTAGATGAGGGCCCCACCCTATGACTTCGCTGAACCTTAATTACGTCTACCTCTAAATATGGAGATGAAAGCCCTATCTCTAAATATGGTCACATTGAAGATTGGGACTTGGATAGAATTTTGGAGGGACACATTCTGTCCATAATATTCTTCCCTCAGTCCCCCCAAATTCGTGTCATTCTGGCATGCAAAATACATTTACCCCATTCCAACAGCCCCCAAAGTCTTAACCCATCCAGCGTCAACTTGGATGCTGAGAATCTTATCTAAATAGCATCTAAATCAAGTATTGGTGACTCAAGGCATGATTCATCTTGAGATAAAATTCCTCTCCAACTGCAAAGCTATGAAACCAACAAGTTATGTGCTTTCAAAATACATGGGAGAGTCAGGCATAAGATAAATATTCCCATTCCAAAGCAAGAAACTGGGAAGGCAGGGTCCAGGTCAAATCTGAAGTTTAGCAAGGCAACTTCCATTAGATCTTAAGGCTCGAGAACAATCCTTTTGGGACTGATGCTCTGCCCTCTGGGTTCAATGGGATGGCAGCATTGTCCCCTCTGCCCTGGAGGATGGCCACTCCCTGCTGCTGTGGGAGGAGGTCTTCTCCTTAAGGTACTGTGTTGCAGCAACTTCATCCACTGAACCTGAGGAACAGCCTTGTCCCACAAGCCTGTGCCTGCTGGTTCTGTGGTACATCTCTGAATCATCTATGGAGTCGTTCTTAAAAGCCTTTTCTTGACAAGTAATGCTTATTTGCTCTCTTAGCCCATCCTGTAGAATTCAAGAAGTCTGGGGGCCGGCAGGTGGCATAGTGGTTAAGGTCACTGGACTCCCACATGGCCAACGACAGTTCAAATCCTGGACCTGGTGACTTGCTTTCTTACTTTCCCTCTCTCTCCTTTCTTTCTTTCTCACTCTGTCCCTCTCTGACCAATTTGAAAATAAATAAATAAATAACATTAAATAAAATAATTTAAAAAAAAGAAGTTTTGGGCCAGTAGGGAGCGTAGTTGTTATGCTGCTGTACTCCTACATGCCCCACCATGATTCAAGTCCCAGACCCAGTGGCTTGAAAATCACACCACGTGGATTTGCACACGTGAGTGTCCAAGATCCTGGGAGGAGAATAGAGGAGAAGGGATTGCAGTGTGGCCATCTCCTTTGGGAATAGGAGTGATTTCTCACTTTCCCTCTCATTGTATCTGTCTCTCTCTTCTATTAGCTCATGTGCCCTAAGACAAAAACCTCTCAAAAAAATAAAAATAAAATTAGAAAGAATTGGCATGATTCTGCTGTATAAATCCATGATCTCAAGTGAAAGTCCAGCCTCACTCTTCGTGCTTGCTTTGAAACATGCTCTCTCTCTCTCCTTTTTTTTTTTTTTTGTTTTGTTTGCTTTGCAATGCAGACTGAGGATTTTTTAAATCTTTAAATTCTGGTTCCTTTTTTTTTTTTTGGAGAGGTTTTTTTTGCTATAGGGCGCATGTGCTCGCCAGACAGAGAGAGAGAGACAGAGACAGAAAGCGAGAAATCACCCCCCCAGGGGGGATGGTCACACTGCAATTCCTTCTCCTCCATTCTCCTCTCGGGATCTTGGGCACGCACACACACGCACCCGGCGTGAGTTTTAAGCCACCGGGTCCGGGACGCGAACCACGGTCGACTATGTGGGAGTCCAGCGACATAGCCATTACGCTAACTGCTGGTTCCTTGGTTCCTTTTTTCTTAACAATTCTTCAAATTCAGGTCTCTCTTTCCTTGTTTTACTAAAAAGCAATAAAGTAAAAGCAGGCCACACTTTCAATGCTTCACTTAGAAATTTCAGTCAAATAGTCAAGGTCATCACTTGTAACTTCTTCGCAAAATACTTGAACGCAATTCAATTCTTTGCCATTTTAGTAAAAGAATGATCTTTCCTCTTGTTTACATTTTCTAGCTAAGACCTGACCAGAATCACCTTTAGCATCATATTTCTACCGCCCAGCTTCTACAAGGCAATGCAGGCCTTTTCTGTTTATCAAGCACTCTTGAAGGTTCTTTTTTTTTTTTTTTTGTGGGGGTTTT